CAGCAGAAAGACCGAGATCGCGAGGCGATGGAAAATCTGTACCGCGTAAACGACACACGGAAGTTCTATGAGAAGCTAAATAGTTCGCGCAAAGGCTACGTGCCGCAAGCCGATATTTATATGCAAGGACTTGGACGGTAACCTTCACACGAACGAGTGTGAGGTGATTGAGAGGTGGAAGCAGTACTATGACGAGCACCTCAACGGTGAAGCAGCAGAAAACGAAGGTGGCACGGCAATAGACCTTGGAGCATGCGCAGAAGACGACAGGCAACCGGCCCCTGATCTTCAAGAAGTTGAGGAGGAGATCGGTTGGCTGAAGAACAACAAAGCAACTGGTGTAGATCAACTACCAAGTGAGCTATTAAAATACGGTGGTGAAGCACTGGCTAGAGCGCTGCACTGGGTAATTGCCAAGATTTGGGAGGAGGAGATATTACCGGAGGAGTGGATGGAAGGTGCCCAATCTACAAAAAGGGCGACAAGTTGGATTGCTGTAACTACCGCACGATCACACTGCTGAGCGCCGCCAACAAGATACCCTCCCAAATTCTATACCGCCGCCTGTCACCATTTGCAAGAGAGTTCGTGGGGCAATACCAGGCGGGATGCATGGATGCCCGCGCTACCACGGACCAAATTTTCGCGATTCGGCAGGTTCTACAGAAATGCCGCGAATACAACGTGCCCACACATCATTTGTTCATCGATGTCAAATCCGCGTACGACACAATCGATCGAGATCAGCTATGGCAGATTATGCACGAGTACGGATTTCCGAATAAACTGACGCGATTGGTCAAGGCGACGATGGATCGAAAGATGTGCGTTGTTCGAGTATCGGGGACACTCTCGAGTCCCTTTGAATCTCGAAGGGGGCTATGGCAAGGTGATGGACTTTCGTGTCTGCTGTTCAACATCGCGTTAGAAGGTGTGATCAGAAGAGCTGGGATAGACACGAGTGGCACGATATTCAGGAAGTCCATTCAGCTCCTTGGCTTCGCCGATGACATTGACATTATGGCACGGAACTTTGAGATGATGGCGGAAACGTACGTCAGACTGAAGGCTGAAGCTAGACGGATGGGACTTGCCATCAACGCATCAAAGACAAAATACATGAAAGGAAGAGGTTCTAGGGAAGACAATGTTAGCCTCGCACCCCGAGTTCAGATTGACGGTGACGAAATCGAGGTGGTCGATGAGTTCGTGTATTTGGGCTCACTGATGACCAACGAAAATGACACCAGCAGAGAAATTCAAAGACGCATTATGGCAGGGAATCGTGCCTACTTTGGACTCCGGAGGACACTCTGTTCGAATAAAATTCGCCGCCGCACGACCCAAGAAAGCGACCCAACAGGAACAAGAAGAAGAGGCGCGCAGCGGGCAAGGTGGATCGACCAAGTAGAAGGTGACCTGCGGACCCTTCGTAGACTACGAGGCTGGCGAAGTGTGGCCATGGATCGAGTAGAGTGGAGACGACTTCTTCGGACAGTAGAGGACAACAAGGTCTTAGCCTGATTGGTAAGGTAAGTAAGCAACATTAAGCAAAATAATAAAAATCGTTGTTCGTAGTCCAATTTTATTCTGGAGGGGGCTTGACTAGCTATGCCAATGAATATTAGCAAAAGTAAATGCCAAGGTAATCCACTATTGGAGATTTTACCGAGCTAGATTGAGTGTATACCTGTTGTCCACAGTATGTTCTCACAAATACTAAGAATTAATTCATTACACATGCCTAACAGAATTTTATATCTCAATACGTGGACATTAGAATGATGTAAAATTTATTCCAATTTGTTCCAAATCGGGTCCAAATTTGAACCATTTTAGTTAAAAACTGACTGTACACAAACCATTTGAAATTTGTATGGGAATTACTATGGAAAAACCACTTTTTTGCCCTACCGTTCAATTCACCATATTTATCTGCAATACAAATTGATAGTTGGACTTGTTGGATACTTTCTTAGCTACACCTTTGCTAAAGACCACTTTTTCACATTTAAATCGCAGTGAAGCAACTGTAAACTCTAGAGGAAATTTATATCTGTAACTGTAACAAGTTCGTTTTGGTTTGCTATCCACACACTTAGATTTTTTCGCCGAGATGGGCACCACCGAGCAGCTCGGCATTTTATTTTGCTGGATCTCAGTGAAAAACTTGCCGAGATTCAGCTAACAAACGGGAATTTTGCCGAGATCTCAGCTAACAAACATATTTTTTGCTGAATTTCCAGCAAAATAAAATGCCGAGCTGCTCGGTGGTGCCCATCTCGGCGAAAAAATCTAAGTGTGCAGGTTAGTTATAGTTAATTATCTTAAAGATAAATCGTCCAACTCAAACCTTTTTAAGGGTAAGAGGTGGGACCATCATCATCATCATCATTATGTCTTATGATTATGTTCAATCAACTGCTCAGCAGGCAACGTTGGCGTTTCTGGCCCGTGAAATAGAGAACACACATCATGGCTATTATGCCACATTGCATAATACAGTGTTTGTCACAAAACAGAGAGATTACCAATCTTTTAAATAATTAATAACTATATAATTTATCATTGTAGCTGCAAAGTTGTAGCTGAGAAAATTTCCTACAAGAATAGCAATCCAACATTTTTTTCAGAATCCAACCCGAGCAGGAGAAAATAATTAATCAATACCTAATTTTGATCTGATACCAAAATTTGGTGTTGATCAGTATGCTATGAGAGGTAAAATACCGAAGAATAATACCAAAAAATTAGATGCAAAATTCTTTGTAAATAACAAAAAATGATATACCAAAAGAATACCTGTATGGTATTGTTTAGGTATTGCAATTGCATAATTTGGTGTTAGAATGGTATTGTGGGAACATTTTTTTTGGCAGGGGAAATGGCTCTAATGTTGGCCTATGGATATAAGATTGGGCCCATCACTAAAAATCTGCTATTTATCAATTGTATCTAGATGGGACGGTACTAATGGATATTTTTGGTTGCTGTTGAAAATTTAGTCGATTGCTGAATTTATGTATGGGCCCAAATTAGGGACACTAAGGCTGACATTACCTACATTTCCTCTATTTTACCTCTTATGTCATGCTCATCGATACCAATTTAAGGTATCGAGATATTCGTTCCTGCTCGGGAAGCCAAACTTAAAATCAGTCAGTTTCGAACTAAACGAGTTCAAATTTTGGGAAGCTAATCAGGACCCGATTTGGAAACGTTCAAGCACTGTGGACCGAACATTTCAAATTTTGCATCAGGACACATTTTGAGAGTCAAATCATAGTACTTTTTTAACTGTGTACGCTGCTTTCCATAGTCATTTTGAAAATCATTTGAATTCAACATCAGCAATCCATTCAGAATCGACATTGCACATTTTAATTAAATCAATTCTCCTAGGTCCTCTAGGTCAGTGAAGCTTTGTTCCAACTGCAGCCAACAACAATGCGGACGGGGGATTATCTCCCGCACATATCCGGCCCTCACCCTGTAACTGTGAGCAAAACCGGACAACCAACGGCGAAGTGCTTTTCCGATTCCATTCAATTTAGCAACGTGCATTTGCCCTGTTTTATTGCCCGCCCGAACAATTCTTCTACGCCAGATGTCCTCTCGTAAAACTTTGATAGACCATTCAGCAGCTGGCCGTTCTCGGTTCAGGAGTTCGTGCTGCAAGATTCTAATGCTGAAAAATTAATGACTTTCAAGCAGCTTAAGGAAAATGGATCTACCCGCTTCTTTGCCTTTTGTTCCGAGTGAACGAATCGAAAAGCCAACCACCTTCGTCACCACCCACCACTGTTATCATGCAATAGTTTGGAGCTGCGAAATGGACCAAGTTCTCTTAGCTTCTTGAGGATGCGGTGGTATATGGCGGACGTGCAACGCATAAGCTCCATTATATTCCTTCGAACGACTCATCAGCCACCAACATCGCCAACCTCACTGCCACCCAGAGGATCGATCGTGAAACGAAGCAGAACTATGTTTCAACTCTTGTACATCCATTTATCGTTTGATATATTTTAGCCCATTATACCAAGCAGTACGGAATGTATGTTTATTGTTTCTTCGTCCTTTGATAGAGTAAGAAAACTCCATTCTGTTCGACTGCCGTATGTACAGCACAGTACAACAGCTTCTTCCCGGAATTCTTCCAGCATCTCCTCCGTACAGGAACATGGACTGATATAACAGAATCTACTCTGGGTCTGCTCGGCGATATGACCGAGTGGGGGATAAACTTTTCCATCGTCGTTTATTTGGCCGGAGAACGATAGTAAATTCATTTATACATGTTGTACACATCTTATGGATGCATTTTCTTTCGAATTCTCCTTGTTCGATATGGTAGCTAAAGCTATGGGCAACAGGAGAGTTACATGCGTTAATTTACAACATCAAATGGATGGCTGATGCTCGTTTTGGTGTTGCACCCAGTTGTTGCATCAGGGTTGCTATTGTTCTATCGAACAAGCATCAATGGGTAAAATTCAGCCATAACATTTGATAACGGCACAAAAGCATTTGTAAACAAACTTTCTAAGGCCCTTTACATGCGAACCAAAAGTACGCCCACGCAAACCAAGAACACCATCGGATTGTGGCAACCATCAGCTTTCCGAAAGTGGTATTGGTTTGCGTGGGCGTACTTTGGTTCGCATGTAAAGGGCCTTAGAAAGTTTGTTTACAAATGCTTTTGTGCCGTTATCAAATGTTATGCCTGAATTGTTCCATGAAGATGCAGATGCAGTTATAAGAGTATACATGAACGGAAATGTATGTTATCTCAATTTATCACACAATAACATCCCATTTGCACTTTGTCATTGTTATTTATTGACGAATAGTTTTCTAGCTACATGGGGTAGGCAAATGTAAGTCTTGCATGTTGCTTTCTCACACATAAACTTAATATTTTCTGTGATCAATCGTTTTCAAATGACTGTTTGACTTGAAATGTTTTAAGAATTCATCAGCACAAAAATGCTACTCACCCGCATCCAGTTCAGGGGTTCGATGGTGTGCAGCAGCAGCTTTTCCTTCAGTCCCACCAGATAGCAGCGCAGCAAGTAACACATGAGACTATAGCTGACGACGATAACGACCTGGACGAGATCGTGGAAGAACAGCGCGACACAGAGAAAAACTCGAACGTAGTCTCGGTCGGTAGGGTCCAGCTCCTCCCACGAGTCACTCCACCTGATGTCGGTGCTGACATAGGAATGGTTCAACGTCAGCAGGTAGATGTACGCAGTGGATCCAGCCAACCAGAGCGTTCCGAGGACGAAATAGACCCAGAAAGTTACCACCAGCCGACGGGGAATGTTGCACAGGATGAAAACCTGAAAGAAGATTAGTGGGCAGTGTGGTAGTGGTTGTCAGAATGATTTTTTAATGATGAGCAGTAGCAGCTTCAATCGGTGAAGAGCTTTCGGTTGCTGAGAGCTAGGTTTACCGCATGACTGCCAGTGTAGGTACCTACAGTAATCCCTCCATTTAAGCTCCTCTATCTATCGGCTGTCCTTCAACCAATTGAGCTGATTTTTTGTATATAGCTAGTTTATGGTTGACACAAATTACAAACAAAAAGCATAGTTGGCTGAAATACAGCCGAGAAACAGCTATGGGTTGAAGGTACCTCCGCATAATTTGAGTGATTACTGTATTCGAAACTGGAACTAAATCACGCCGAAAAAACCACTCCCGGAGTTATTTAATAATTGAATATCAGTGTGCAGCTGGTGACGATTCGCATACATGCAGTTTGATTGCAAAGTTCGATGTGAAAGAATAGCCTCTGTTAGAATGAATTGTTAAAGCTTTCGGATGCAACTTTTTCGAGCTGTCGTTTTATTGTCCTATAGCTTTGTGTACGATTTTGATTTTACGATTTTCACTATTGGGCCGTTTTTGTTCATGGTCGATTTATTTGATTTTGATTGTCAATTTTGCATAGAGGACTACATTGTTTGATGCGTGAATTCAAAGGGTTTGGACTTGTATTGGTGAATATATAGTTTTAAACATTTCTAGATTTTAATATTATAGCTTTGTGAGTTTCATAAAGATATTTAGCAGGAAAAATGATTAGATGAAAAATGCAATCTGCTGACTTGAAATCATTGACACATACCCAGAAACCGTGAAAAAAGTAATATAATTTAAGGCTTATATGCCTCAGGCTCCTCCCAAAAATGCAATTTTTCATGCAAAGGTTTTTCATAGGGCTCGAATGGTTCCAAATCACTTTATGATCATCAAACAAATCAATATCCATTTAGGGGAAATGGATGTAATGTTGGCCTAAATGCCCCTAATTTGGGCTCATACATAAATTCAGCAATCGACTAAATTTTCAATAGCGACGAAAAATATCGATTAGTACCGTCCCAATGACGCGTTCATCTAGATAAAATTGATAAATAGCTGATTTTTAGCGATGGGCCCAATCTTAGATCAATAGGCCAACATTAGAGTCATTTCCCCTATATTTTTGTTTTCAAATTCATCCCGTATTGAATGGCAGATACAGTACACACATCCACCATAATAAGTTTCGGCAACTTGATTGTGACTGAAATAACTTGCATACAAGTAACCTCAACTGACAAATGTGCTGCTAGGGTAGGGAGTCCCCTATTTAGTAAACCAACGGCAAATAGCAAATCAAAGAACGAGTTTCAAATTTTTCCTCTCAGAATTCCATTAAACTTCGCATAATTGGATACTAGGTAAGCGTGATTGCCTAACCCCGTAACGTGAGTAGATCACCGTGGTACGTTACGGGATGTAGGATCTACCACCGTTTCCTAGTCCTGACTACTTCAAACTATGGGAACCAAATTTTTCAGTAATCAAACGAACACATCTTAGTCCTTGTTACTTTTTATGCCTTGTTGATAGTGACAAGACTCGGCTTTGTCCACCGAGGATGATCTTGAAACAAAGAAAAAAATGAGTTAGTTAGTCTTCATCTACGTGTCTCCTAATCTTCTATTCGTTGTTCCCTAGTTTGAAGTGGTTAAGACAATTTTAACTGACAAAGGGCGCGCCTTTGGAGGGTGCTCGAATAAATAGCGTGACCTTTCAATTAGAATCGATTCCTTGCGGTAAAGGCCAGAATTACAACTGTAATAAAAAAAATCGAATACTTCATCATTCTTCAATGTACGACATGCACTAAACTAAGGACACGGGATATAGGGTTTTTGGTCTAATTTCCGTCCTACTAAGCACAACCCGCGCTTTACCTCTTTTTGTTGAACGGGTAAATTTATTCACATTTTCATACGTACCGTTGGAATTGATAAAGAGTCACAAATTGTTGAGATATTGTTTAAAATCTAATACTGCTTCTTGATTCTAAATTCGTTCTACGAGTTTCAATTCCGTCCTAACGCATTAAAATGCCACTAGATTTTCTTCGTCCTATGGATAAACGTAGGAAAAGGGGATTCGCTAGAAGCGCTTCTTTTGTTTTGAGAACAACGAGCGTAAATATTCATACAATGCGCTCTAATAGGATCTATGTTGTAGCTAATGAACTAACGCATCTGAACAAACCTTTTTTAGATTTGTACATGGTGAAATCATTGATATTATTGATCTTCTCTGATCGATAGAACGGAAATGGGTGATTACGACAAAGTACTGCTCTACCCTACTCCAATAGATCAAATTACAGGTCGCAGTGGTGTTAGGTCCCGAACAGAGGGAAACAAACTACAAGGGGCAACCCTATGGGGTTGTACACAATGGTGACGTAGGACTACGTGGTCTTATATAATAAATGTTATTTGTTTACTTCAGCAGAAGCTTGTGTTTTGTGTAGGAATAGGAATTTGAGCGGGGTTCTCTGTTTTTATACTCTTTAGTATGACTATGATTACCCTGAAAAGAAACTTTTGATATGAATTTTAATTGGGACATGTTCAGAAATGTAACTCTTTTTGAAAATCTTGTCTTCAGTTCAATGATTGGGCACTCGCAAGAGTCTCGGCACGTCTGCTGCAGGAGTTGAACTGGTGTCTGCGACAGGTCGGAAGGCCATGACAAAATAATAATTTTTCGAAAGCTAGAAAATCATGCCCCACCCTCTTTGGGTATTTTATCATACACTTCATCTGTTGTGGCTTTCTACACTAAATTATGCGTTGTATATACAGTACATAGCTGAGTACAAGATCAGCATGATCGGCACTAAGGTGCTCCGGACGAAAGCGGAATACGAAATCGCCGTCAAATTCCTGAAGGATTCCAATGCAGAATCCTTCACGCACTACATCCCCGGTGAGAAGCCCTTCAAGGTAGTCATCAGGGGTCTACCGAATGTTGACCCCAAGGCGATCGAAGAAGAACTCAAGGACCGGTACAAGCTGGCCCCAATCGCAGTCTTTTGGATGACATAAGAGACGAAAACGTGAGGACGGATTGTCTTTTTCTGGTGCACTTCCAGAAGGGAACGGTGACACTGAATGCGCTGCAGGCTATCCGCTCAATCGTACGATGGTAGCCATACCGTGAACGCCATCACGATGTGACCCAGTGCCAACGATGTCTGAACTTTGAACACGGCACTCGCAACTGCCATGCTGTATCAACTGCGCTCAAGAACACGCCACTTCCAACTGCCCTGCGGATGGAGCCGTGGCTTTAAAATGCGCCAACTGTGGTGGTGCTCATCAAGGTTTCGACAGACAGTGCTCCAACGCGAGGACTTCAAACGCATCCGAAAACAGGCGGCAACTAACAACCAACCAGGACGCAAGAAGGACAAAGTCCCGGCATTTCGGACGGATGATTTCCCGCTTCTTCGTGCTCCTCAGCAAAGGCAAGCGAATTCGCGGGCGCATCCCGCTCAAGCAACTTCCGGTGATTCTGCTGGCCAAAGCTTTTCATCCCTCCTGGATTCTGGAGCCAACCAACAGCGTAAAACAACAACCCCGATATGTTCTCAGCGGATAAACTGATGGAAATTTTCGTCAACATGTCCGGTGCTCTTCGTAAGTGCCGCAATAAGCCCGAACAGAACCAAGTGCTCGGTAAGTTCATCATCCAGTATGGCGTCACCTGGAATGCTTGCTCTGTAAGAGCAAAAGAGATTGAGCTTGCCGACTTCCTCCGCAAGCACAGCATCGACGTGGGCCTTCTAACCGAGACCCATCTAAAGTCCGGTGACAGCTTCTGGTTCCCTGACCACAACATTATTCGGCTTGATCGCACCAGCTCCAAGTGGGGGGGTGTTGTGGTCGTCGTCAAGAAAGGAATAAAATACCACACTCTGTCCCATAATCTAGGCCCTTGGTGTGGAGGTGGAGTCGTCGACTGGATACATCCAGTTCATCGCCGTCTACTGCCCTCGACAGTGTGCCGCCAGCAGTGGACTAGCGGCTAAATTCAAGAAGGACCTGTCCACCATATCCCGTACTAGTTCCCGCTTCGTAGTTGGAGGAGATCTGAATGCTCGCCATGAGGCCTGGTGGAACTACCAGCAGAACCAGAACGGTCGTCTGCTGTTCGACCACTCGCAGCATGGGCTGTACTCCGTTTGGTTTTCGAATGAGCCAACCTTCATCTCACCAGCGGGCAACCCATCGACGCTAGACCTGTTCCTGGCTTGTCCAAGAGGGTAGCCTTGAACGAACTCAGCTCCGACCTTCAAGGCCTAAGTTTATTGACATTGATTCCCACACCCAACTCTTGATTCGCCTGAGAAATGTTCATAGACGAAAGTTCCAAAGAACCAGAGATCTAGCGAGGAAACGTGAAATGGCCGATCTGAACAAGCTTACAGAATGGTCTCACTCCGGAACGAAAGTTTCGGGTGGCTCATCCAGAATCTGGACGACCGCTCCAGACCATTCTGTAAGGTAGCCAAGCTAAATACGTACCCCAAACCCATTCCTCCACTCAAAGATGAAAATGATAACGATCGGCTCATAATCACCCCTCAGGAAAAAGCAAATGCGATTGGTGAGCATATTGCCAAATCACACTTGCTTGGCTCCAACATGCAAAGTTCGCTCGAAGTTCAGGTTGAGCAATGCGTACTCAATCTTGATTCCACCCCTTGTGCTATCCCTCCGGAGGATATAATCACTTGGAACAGATTTGCTCAGCGCTGAAATGCACCAAAAACATGAAGGCCCCCGGGTTTGACGGAATATTCAACCTAGTGTTGAAAAGTCTCAGCATGAAGGTTCACTCTCTGCTGGTTGCTGTCTTCAACAGATGCTTGGAACTGCACTACATTCCAAGTATTTGGAAGACAGCGAAAATCAAACCTTTCAGCGCTGAGAAAATTGTTCGAGAAACTTATTCTCAATCGTTTGCTCAAGTTTGT